GGGGTATCAGTAAGATAGTCTAGAAAGCAAGAGTTTAAAAAGAATATTAACTTTTCTATAAATTGCAGCCAAGAACGTAAGGAGATGTATTTACTCCTTTTTTATCTAGAGATCATTCTCTAACTTCTAATAAATTTGGTTTTCCTATCCACGATAATATTCCTATATGACTTATCTGTTTTTCAAAAATCATGTCTCTTCTATGTACTCAATTTAGATTGTATTTTGATTTAGTGACCAATAAATAGGTGTGTTCTTATTATGATCAATCAAAGATGAGGGAATAAGTTTTGTATAGAGCATAAATAACTTTTAAATTACATTTGGCTAAAAGTTATTCTACACCCTTATATTGATACTATCATCGTTTCTAAGCTATGCTAAGAGGATTTTGGTGGATCTGCGTTTGATCTCTAAACAGGACGATTATTTATGTCCAAGTCTTAATACTTTTTATTTTAAGTCTGAGAAAATATATATTATTAAATGTATAACTACTTTTAATGGCCTTATGATAATCGATAGGGCATAATTCGTCATAATATTCAGTAGAAATTAAAAACTCCTTAGTAATCTCTACAACTGCAACACTAAAAAGCTCGTTGAATTTAGCAAGATATTTACTTCATTCTTAATCTTTAGCTAAGTCTCACCTTTGAATAATGACCCACAATAAATATACCACATTATTTTCATATCATAAATAATGATATGAAAAGTGATGAAGGCCGAACACAGTTCTTACATTAGATCTACTGGTAACCTTGAAAACCTACTTATGCTATGAAATATAAGCAATGTAGTCAATGACTATAGCAAATCCACTTTGCTTCGTCGACAATCCAATCACAGAAGTTTTATATGGCAAAGGCTTAGTCTTCCTCTAAATGCTTTTCTGCCCTTTTGACCAAAGACACTCGTGTCTGTGTAGTGTAGTGATTAACGCACTACCAGGGTTTGAGTCCCACTGGTGGTGCTGGGGATGATAGGCGAGGTTAAAACTACAGTCCACTTCAGCTTGAAGGAGAATTCCTTTTTGGAAGCAAGAATATGTAAAATTCAATGTATGCGTAAGGCCTACTCTTATTACTGTTAGAATATTCATCGACCAGACCTTAATCACCTTAAACGAAATAGGGTAGGGGGATACTGCTCTTGAACCCCCTTATTTAACATATTATTGTATAGTAAAGTTTTCCTAGGTCAATAGTTGGCATATTTTTCAAAATATTTCCGGTATATGCTTTCAAGTGGTTTAGATGCCAGCGAAACATTTGGGCATTTACCATCTTAGTGGCTAGATTCTTAAAATTAGTATGGCTACCAAGGCAGCAGGCGCAGCACTGTGTAGTTTATTTGAAATCTCCCTAACACTACACTCTAGTTTAGAAAATGATATAAAACCAAAGCTATGCAACGAAAGAAGAGTGCGAACAAACCTAAGAACACATCATCATGTAAATTAATGGAACTCAGAAATTAGGGTAGATTCTTTTAAAGCTAGTTAACAAAATAATAAAAATGGTAAATAGATATTGTAATAATTTCTCAAAAAAGATTCGCAATTGAGCTGACAGATGACCATGTTTTTCTAAAAAGTAAAATTATTTGATGGACTTTGAAGTTTCCTCTATTGGCATTTACTCTGGAATGCTACGTAAGGCTGATAATTGATATAATCTGGTCTATACATATATGGAATCACATATTTTTTTGATATTAAACAAGTGCATAAAAATTCTACACATAAATTCCTGTTTTTAGGAAGAGAGAGAGAAGGTTTTTTATTTAAATACAACGGGGAAGTATAGTGTAGCGTAAATTGCAAGGCGAAGTATGAGTCCCTTGCATCCTCTGCGTTGTTATATGAAGGCATGCTTGCTTATATACTCACGAGTTCAAGTAAATCAATGCATGCAAGTAGTCATTGTTTCCAATGAACTTAGGTTTTGCATGAGAAAGATAACCACTAGGAATCGCCTAGATGAAAGCCTGAAATTGCATTGACATTATCCAATATATCTACCCTAAGACAGTGATTCCCAGACTGTGCGCCTCGGCGCCCCGGGGAGCCGCGAAATATTGTAAAAGATTCAATTTGAGAAAATATGCACTGATTTGCAGGCTCATCCATCACATTAATTATTAAACATTAATTAAATGTTAATAAAGTAAAAAAAATAAATAAGATACACGAGTTTCATTTATTTTTCTCTTTTACTTACGAATAGTCATACTTAGGGTAGGGCGCCATGGAAAAGTTTTAATTGAAAAAGAGCGCCGCGACTAGGAAAAGTTAGGGAACCACTGACCTAGGAGATAGCTTTCGCTTGCTCGGGCCAAAATTGTGTGCCTCCTCAATAAAATGAAAGAGATTAATGAACATGTACTAGAAGGTAAATCTTGTTATTCATCTATAGCCTATTAGGCCCTCATCCACAATTATGATATTTAATTATTCTTGTTACTCCAAATAGAAAAATGCTACATATAAGGAAACGGTAACGATGTTCTTGCCAAGTAAGAATAATGAGATAAAGATTTTCCAGAAAAATCGACATGTTAATCTAATAGGTGCGTGATGGCGCAATCTTCTTAGATGAAATCCTCACTGAAATTATATATACATAGACTGTCAGCTAAGTGTGATAAGTGAATAGCTTTGACTTACCTCGTCTAGTGATATGTTCATTGCCACCTCTCCAACTGCAAGCTCTTCAGCCTCCTTATTAAATTTAAGCAGGTTTATTGCATCTATATCTCCTCTTTCATCAAAACTCTCAGTCTCAGGCGGCGACAAACGAGAGATATTTGTCTGATATAGAGGCTCGTAAAGAAATTTCGGTGATGTAGCTTCGTAGTGCATAACCTTGGTTTGACAATTTACACGTTGTGGATTTACTTGAACCTCATTAGCAAATGAGATCAGTTTGTGATCAGATGTCACATAGGCAACCTGAATATGACCTCTTACAACAGGCCGTATGGGGAAACTTCGGCGAACAGCATCTCGACTCACAGCTTTGGCATTGTCCCCGCCTAAATTCGAAGTCACTAGGCCAGCAGGGATAATTTGAATAGACCAACCAACCACTCGAGAGAAACCATGAGGAATGTTTAGGTTTGCTTGCATCTGGCCCGTTTGAGTCATGGGTAGGCCTTGGTGCCTTTGCTGAACTGTGTGTTGCTGTTGCTGACCTTTCTGAGTTTGAGAGGGAGGCTGAGGGTAGTAGAAACCAGAGCGGGGCAATTGACGCAACTGGCCACAACAGTTAGGGCTCCATGATCCATCGCCTTCAGTCTCTATCCTATAATCAGTCTCGCCGTTCAGAACACTAGCATCACTGTTGATGCACCTCCCTGAATGACCAGTCCCTAAAGGAACTAGGCCGAGGCGGAGGAGACGGCCACCAGTCTCGGCATGAAGAAGCCACTCAAATCCATAGTTGTCGGTGAGGCGAGTGCGATTAAGGCTCTTCGCTTTCGGCTGAGTTGGCTGGATATCAGCCATCGTGATGGGCGTTTGAGTAAGCAGCTGTAGGTGAACATACAGTGGTCTTGTGTTTTTTCCAGCCGCGTTAAGTGCATTAAATAGCAACATCAGGGCTCCGCCAATTCGTCTTCCGTGTGTTGATTCTCCTGGCTGCACTAAGGAGTCTCGACTTATGGCCCGCTCAACAGATAACTGAGAGATGTTACCAGCTGGTGAATGCGTAGATAGTAAGTTGCTGTTAGTTGGTATGACTTCTTGTACCAGAGTTGCTTTGTGTGCTCGGGTTGGCCAGCCTTGGGGGCCAATTAGGAATTCCATCGGCCCTGTACTGAATCCGCCGGGAAGCTCAGCATACAAGCTTACGCTGCACCAGTTGGTCTGCGATAACCCAGGTCTTTGAGACATAACCCCGGTTTCCGACATTATGGAATGCCCGATACGTCCACTCGACTGCTTTTTCTCTGGTATCCTCTTCACTAAACTTAGCTCCAATTCGACGGATAAGTTGGCTAACTTATTTGTTACCTTCTGGCCTGAGAGATACTGGTGTTGAGCTGCTGGGGCAGGTGATGGGAAACTCCCATTCTGATCATAATGGGCAGCACCTGGGAGAGAATGAATCTCAAAATCAAGGTTAAGTATCCATAGCTCACCGGCATAGCTGAATTCCTTAGATTCTAGGTGAAGCTTTTGGGGTATATTCATCAAGCCTCCCACAGTGTTTATACTAACATGTGAACCAAGGCTTCCTGCTATGCTTATGCTCTCGGTACCACGGTAGCCAAAAGGGCCACTTAAAGATGGATCTAGGCAAGCCCTAGTGTCCAAATTAATCTCAGTAAGCACATTCTTTAGCTCTAATTCTATTAAACAACGACCATCATCGAAGAGGAAGCGCCGTGAAGATAGATCTGCCAATTCAATAAAACTAGAACGACCATGCAAGCGATGAATGCTATTGAACTCAACTTGCTTTTCTCCAAATGACTCATTTTTATAAAAGTGTTCTCTGTTTTGTACCATAAATTGATAGTCCAGAGTAACTGTAAAGCCCTTCACACCAGGCCTTTTCCTAGTACTAAGGAGGTACTCATTATCATTTCGTCCAAGAGAACCATGTTGGGACCGTGGCTCCGAGGAGACAGCTTCAGGATGGCGAAGTTCCAGGAAGGCACCCAGATGAGGCTCCTTACGCTCAAAATGCACAACCCAATTATGCTGGGCATAGGTAAAGATGGGCGAAACTAGCTCATCTACAAATCCACGAATTAGTTGAGGCAGAACGATAAACGTGAACACTTCAGTATTGGCACGGTCGTTCAAACGAACGTATCGATGCAGTGGAGTGCTGGGTTTGGCTGGAATTGAAGACGTAACCTGAGAAAGCCGCGACGAAATTCTGGAAGTATGATTTATTACCCCGGAATCAAAACGAGCATCACCGGACGAATAAAAATTAGAATGGCGCACTGTTTGGTACGGCTGCATATTAAATATCTACACGATGCAAGAACGGCAATACTGATTTAGTGGGTGTAGAAGCAAAGTCTAATAATCCCATTTGTCATTGTTTAAATATTGATTTAAGTGAAGAGATTTGCGCTCTGCTGGGCTTTTTCTGAACGTTGTCATATCATACACTTGATCATTAATTGCATAACAGATATTGAGAGTGATTTTGGGTAAGAAATGGAGCTGCTACGAATGAAAAATGTATCAATATTTGTCAAATTTTGCTCCGAATCAAATAAAATTGCTCACAACTGATTTGTACTGATATCATAGGTAGAAGAAGAAAAGTATGTAGCTCTTCACCTTAGGAATTATCATACATCACGCATAATTGTTATAGGCAAACAAATACCCATGGGCGCTTGAAACTTTGTATGGAAGGGAAAATATGCCTAAGCTGCCTAGCTTATACATTGTAGCATCTCTAAATTAGAGCTACTTTCCCTCTAGACTGTTAAGCTCAGTCTTGTGTTATTGCGAGCTTCAACCTTGAGACAGATTCATACATGCCACTTAGTCATGACTACTACTTTGACAATGATTGGTCAAAAGAACCCATCCATAAATAGTAGTGTCGTCCAATCAGACGTCGATTACCGAGTATTCTGCAGCCTCGCGCTTGGTTGGACAGAAGGATGTGACATAAGCAAAAGAATAGCAGTACTCTCTCTTCATTTGTGATAATCTAGCTCTAACGCTCGGGCCTAAGCCTAACTCCCAAAAACATTCTGACATCGAATATCTAGCCCACTCAATTTCTTAGCCAAGTATTGTCATAGTGAATCTTATCCAGTAACATCACTAGCCAAAAAAACTTTGCTTTCTATTCCATAGGCCCATTAAAGATATGTGCAACTATGAACATTTTTATTAGAGTTAGATAGAGCCATTTGAAGAAGTAGTTATCTAAAAAGCTCCAATATCTGAAGATAAGATATTAATGGCTTAGATAATTCAGGAAAAAGGATAAATGTACCAATTTTTTAAAATAACCTCAGTAAATCTGAAATTATTATTGATGGCAATAGTTGGCGTAGTTTTCCTCGCTGAATTAAATCCAGATAATTAATTTTCACACTATAAGGACAAACTCTTGGATTAAAGACTAGGTGAGAGCTACCAGAATGATCTGTTTCATTGTATGCATTTCAACCATAGGGACAGAGGACAATTCTGTCGCTATCTTCCTTATGATATATTTATGTATAATAGTCAAAGGTAAGATAACGCTGCCAAGTTATTAGGTGAATATATTTGTCTTCTTTCCTTCTTAAATAATTAATGCTTATCGATTTGTTTTCAAAAGTACTCAAGAGTAGTATATGGTCGTTTAATTGCTACGATGATAGCAAAGTCGGGCTGAGACGCTTTTTGAGGATTTGACAGTTTATACTGTTATAGAGCATAATAAAATAGGGCGCCTAAAAAAATACTTCTAAATCTGCACCCTAAACTAAGCTTCCTTATTTGCTCAATCAAGTAAAATTATCAAAATTACCGCAGTATAATTTTTATTATTTTAATAAACATAGAATTAGCTTGAAATTCTGTAAAAAAAGTTGATTCGATATTTTGATTTCAGTAAAATTATTCGAGCCTATTTCTTCCTGAAAAAAAGGCATTTTTGAAAACATTTTGTGGTCTGAATTCACTGTGAGAAAAAGGATATTGGAGAAAAATGTTAGTTTTTTTTTGGAGAGTTACCCAGTTTAAACTTTCGTCCTAATAATAAACTAGCCTTAATTGATAAGCTTGAATGGTCTTTAATGTTATCGATATCGTGAAGAGTTTAAGTATTCGCATGGAACAACGAGATATGAAGAATAAATAAATGTGAATATCGGTAAAATAACGAGATTCTTTTGTGGGACTTACTTTTACAGCAAAGTTAAGTATGCAAGAATTAAATAATTATTTTATTCTGGTTTGAGATCATCTAGGACACTTAGCATCCGGCCTGCAGAAAACCTTTTTCTTGATACTATGAAGGATAATACTTCAAAATAATATCTTTCATTCGGTATAGCTTAAAAGATTCAGACATATCTTCATTTTGAGTAGCCTTTATAGTTGATGTATGAAAATTTCTTTAACTCAAAATCTATTATTTCGCTTTTTTTT